GCGGCCCCTGGCGGTGCCCTTGGCGCCTGGGGCACGTTCACTGCCATTCCGGGTCCAGGATCCCGCCATTCCCGTTTCTCCGAGCGTTGGGTGCGGGCACGGGCCTGGCCACCTTCTGCCCTTCGTGATGGCGCTACAGGCTCCGGCCACCAGCCAGCCAGCCAGTTGGGGCTTCCGTGGTGCCCGCCGTGCAGGGAACTAACGGCTCCTCCCTCTCGCCCCCAGTGCCCTACGGGCTGTCCCTGCGCCTCGCCCGCCTCTGCACCGAGAACCTGCTGAAGCCTGACACGCGGGAATGTGACCAGCTGCGCCAGGAGGTGGAGGAGAACGTAAGGGCAGCGGCTGCTCGGGGCCTGGGCGAGACCTAGTGGGGGGAGAGCCCCAGGCAAGCGCCGTGGGACCTGGATGTGCCCGCAGGACAGGGGCCTCCTTGGACATGCGCCTGGTGTGGAGTCTCCTGGGATCTGTTCCCTCTGAGCGGTTCCTGGCAGGGATGAGGCCATGGGCGTCCGTGGGGGGGTGGGGGGGGGGGGCTGCCAGCCCGGGCAGGTCCTCTGGGAACTGTGTGCCCCGGGGCCCCAGCCTCATGCCCGCCCTTGCCTGGCAGCTGAACGAGGTGTACAGACAGATCGCAGGCTCGCACAAGCTCCAGCAGACCAAGTTCCGGTGCGTCCTGCCCTGGTGCGCGGGGTGGGGGCGGGGGCTGCCCCAGGCCCCCTGGCTCACGTCCCCTCTTGTCCCCACAGGCAGCAGCCCAACGCCGGGAAAAAGTGAGTTGAAGACTCGGGTGGGATAGCCCCACCCCATTTCCGTCCCGTATGTCTGTCACGGGGTAGGACCTTCATTTGAGAAATACTGACATGAGCCCTACTATGAGCCAGCCCTGTACAAACAGGTAGACCAAGGGGTCCACTCAGGACCAGGGTGGCCCCCTGCAAACCGAGGCTAAAAGAGGTTCAGTAACTTGCCTGAGGTTACCTGGCTGTTAAGAAATAGGGCCAGGCCCTAACCAGTTTGGCTCAGTGGATAGATCATCGGCCTGCAGACCAAAGGGTCCCAGGTTCGATTCCGGTCAAGGGCACGTACCTCGGTTGCAGGCTCCTCCCTAGCCTGGCCCCTGGTCAGGGCGCGTACAGGAGGCAATCGATGTGCTTCTCTCACATCAATATTTCTCTCTGTCTTTCCCTCTCCCACTCTCTCTAAAAATCAATGGAAAAAT